TCTATATTTCAATTTCGATTCTTTTTGTATTTGTTACATGCTTGAATGCCTTATATTCGAGTAATTTTAAAATATGTGTGAAGTTGCTGTTAAATTTCTGATTTTAAACTGGCAAGCTATTATAATTGTGTTTATCTCTTAAATTTGCCAAATGGAGCCAATTACTTTAACAATCTAGAAGAACATGCTCAAAGGTCCCTCTTTTGCTGATTGAAGAAGGTAGAGCTTCTCTTAGATACCTTCTAGCAGTGCGGTTTGGTACCTCTCCTAGTAGTCTTTACCTCCCCATTTTGTTAATGCATTAATTCTGGTAATTTAATTTATGTGTAAAGTCAGTGTTAAGTTGTTATTTAAATACTAGCGAGCTTAATATTGTGCAATAGGTATTAAAATTTTGTTTATCTCTTGAATTATTAGCACAGAGAAGTGAGAATTAGTTTTATACTAATGATGGCTTAGATATTACTGAATTAAGCCTTATTTGGAAATTTTCATTGTCCTTTTTTGGTTTTATTTTTTAATGGTCAATGTCCTTTTAGCTGGTGGGTTCATATACTTGCAATATTTGTATGTTCAGTCTTGCAAAGCATGTTAAGAATCTATGAAAGAGAATCTGAGATATTATTCTTACTAGTCATGCCTATTAATTAAATGGGATATCTCTTACATGTTGATGCCCTTAAGATTTATAATAATACTATCATTTATGCCAGCAATGCGATAATATAAAAGATTTAGTGGTTTATGCAAATTTTAATAATCTTGTGATGTTATTAGAAAGAAACATGCGACGAAAGAAATTGATATCAAGCTTCTTTCTAAGCATGACCTATTCAAGTGCATGTTTGGTAAAGCTCTAATTTTAATTTAAGCTAATGAAACATACTTTTTATTTATACATTTTGTAGGACTCACAACTTAGAAATACTACCAAACAAGCTCAAGATTGTGCATGAATAAAGAGAGAAGTATTTTCTTACAAATTTCAATATATATGTTGATGAAAAGTTCTTAAATTAAATCATGCATATCTTAAATTGCGTGGTTATTTTTGATAGGTATTTATCGTTGGTTATTTTGAATAACATAAAGTAGATTGGTTTTATAATTTACGATTGTGTTTTTGTTGTGTAACATTTAGTAATGCAACATATAGTAATTAAATCAGATTAAACCAAATAGAGGCTAAAGAAGTAGATTATCTCTGAAAAGTCCATTTCAACTCTTTATAAGAAAGAATTTGATGATATTGAAATGGTTTGTGTGGCAAATTGAAATAAAGAAAAATTATTATGAGATGAGTTTGTTATTGCTTTACCTCTAAAAGATGATCACTTCACCATCTTTCCATTAAGTTATTTATATTGCAAGATTTAGTTAAAATTGAGTTGGACTCTATTTTGGCATATTTTCTTAATATGCCCTTCGAATAAAAAACATTGAGCGTAAATGAGGTTCAAGAAATAGTTAAAGGAGCAATTCAATTGATAATTTTCTTATTGATATACATTTATGTGAGAAGATATACCTCTATTTGAGAGTTTTGTTCCCTTAGTAGCAGCATATTTTAATTGCCAAATTGTGATAGCTTGAGTTAAGAGCTCATATGCACCTACGCCATAATGTGGTTAGACAATTGCTAATAGATGGATTGTTATTACTCGAGTTTCCAAAGTCAATGAAATATTGGTGAACCATTTGATTAGATGATTAGCTATGCTATTGATAGATACATTGAGAGAGCCATTTAAGTGTGGTACATTTAATGGCGACCCACCTATGTGAATAGAGATATCAAGAAGTGTGTTCAATGGATAAAAAGAAGTCATTTGAGTAGTCGAGGCACTATCATGTGGGAGTTCCAATGTCCCATCGTTGTGGCTTAGATAGTGCAACTGCACATGGAAGGTTGAGCTTAAAGCTCTTAATGGATCCATAGCCCTTTAGAGTGACATTTTTTCCTGTTACATGATTGGTGGAATCTGCCTATATGAATATGAGATTGGGACTGCCTTCGCCCTTCTATGAGAAATTAGACTGATTTCTCTAGACTCTAGAGTATTCATGAATAAACAGGTGGGGCACTTAGTCTAAACGTGCCAACTTGAGGGCTCTATTATATCTAAAGCTGATACGTGTTTTGCATATATAGCTGATTCAGACTCAAGAAGTCTGTTCAAAGAATCAAAACTTAATTTCACCCACTTCTGTAAATCCAATCTATGTTGATTCAAGTCGAAAGACATCAGCATTAATGTGTGTCAATTTCTTCAATCTGACTAGAGCTTCATTATTTTATTGTGTTATATTCTCAAAATTTGATTTTTTGTGGGGGATTGTTATGTATATATATAAATATATGTTATTATAATTCAAATTTTGAAGTTTATGATCTTTTCACCTTGAAGTTATGAATTTATCATTTTAGTTTAATGTTTATCAGTTAAGCATATTTAATTTCATGGTTATTAAATCTAAAAGATGAGGCTTCATAAATCTAAAAGGTGATGTTCTTAAATACTTTGGCATGTTTCTATGTATTAAAAAAAGCCTTCATTTGTAGGATGATAATCACAACTCCCAGATTTGTTTTTTCCTAAATTTTCTTATATACTTTACCCATCTGAGCTCTAATTGGATGCTTAAGAAAGTCTTGTCTCGACCTTCTATAGGGAGTGCACCCTTAGCCGTGGTTCACCGGTTGTTGAATCTTGGAAGCCGATCGCCTATACCTTGTTGCACTAGATTACGTATCCCAAGGAGAAATCTGTCTTAAGGATAGCGATTTATCGCATTTCAACCAACCACTTCTAAGATAAGGTATTTCTAATTTTATTATTGATTCCTGAAGTGTTTCATTTATTTATAATTCGCAGGCTCTAGCATAAAAGAATTTACCTTTAGTTTCATCTTTTGGGTGTATATATAACAATTTTTCTAACATGGGATATGCCAAAAGATTACTGTTGGATCGAGTATATGATTAACTAGTTGAAGCAGAAGCTATTGACCTTCGCAATGCCCTGAAAGAAAATAAATAGTGACAGTGATGCACGGACGTACCAATTTGACAACGAACAAGAAGATCAAAGAGAAGAGAAAGGGGATCAAAGAAGACAACAAATTAAGGGCTTGTTTGGCACCCATTCTTTTGAAGAATGAGTTTTTGAATAGTGATTGATGTAAAGAATGTGTGGTTAAAAAGTAAGAAGAATTTTTGGGTTTATGTGTAATATTATTTTATTTGGAGAATGTGTGGTTAGAAATGAGTACTGTAGAAAAATGAGAATGAGAATGAGATAAAAAAATGGGTGTCAAACGGGGGCTAAAGCAAAGAAGAAATCAATTTATTCGTATATTCAAGGGGTTACCTATTACCATGAATAAACCCTCTATATATAGAAAACTAATCTAAAATCAGAAGATCTTCTAATAAACTACGACTTTATCAATATATTAAAATTAATCTAATCTAAACACTCATATTTTGAATTAAAATCATATTTTGAAAATCCTATCTAAACTATCTCTATCTCCATCGGACAGCGTTTTGCTTTTGGTGACTCTTGACTGAAGTATGCCATTAGAATTGTCCGTGTAATGCCTTCATGCATATAATATGAATGTTCTTCAATGAATCGTATAAATACTAATGAATGCTTTATCTCATCCACTCAGTTTTGCTGAGTTTTGGGTCCAAATGTGAGCTGAGGGTTGTATTTGTCCAATCAATTTTGCTTTATTGTTACAGTGGCTTCTGTGTTAATTAACACAAACTACCAATTTTGCAGTGGGTTTCATTATTTCATCTAAAAGAAACTGGAAAAGGCAGGAGCAAAGAAGATACATTTTTGCTCTTACAGGTACATAAAATTTTTCTCTACCTCTTTTTCTTTGAACAAAATTTGTGTCCATGGTTCTCTGCTCGCTGGTGTACTTACTGTCTTACTATGTATGAAGTGATTAAAACTAGGAATTCCATTCAAATAAAATCAACAGAAATGAATGTTATAATCCCCTCTAATTTGAATTCCTGTCTAAAATATAAATGCTTTAGCTTTAGGTAGATCTATTACCAATTGAGTTTTTTGTTTCTCACTGTCTTCTTTCCATTTGCTTCTCATTAAGCTGCTTTTGAACTTTCTGTGGTATAATTGTTTCAAATTCTGGCAAGGATCAGTTCAACCATAGAGTTTCTACCTTTTCTTTTTGAAACTGAATGCCTTATTTCATAATCGAATAAGACTTTACTGAATGCAGCAGTATAGTTAAAAAAATTATAGTTTCAAACCCAACTTTGGTTACTGGGATGGAGAAGTTACCCCTTCTTTCATTCGTTAGCCCTTTTCTTCCCGTAGGAAGGGACAGCATGGCCGGTACCACTTTTCCGGATAGAGTTTTAATAAACCGCTCTGCCGAGGATCGGTAGAAAAAGGGGTAGACAATTTTGTGAACTAATTTTGTTGGTTTAAATTGCTTGATTAAAAAAAAAAAAGTTTAATGTCACAAGAATTTTTTCATCCAAGTCAAACCTGTTTCATTTTGTAGTGTGCGCTAATTGTGCTAAAAGATTGACATTTTTCCTTGCTTTCACATATTGTAGCAAAGAAATAAAAGAGAACACTGAATCATATTTGCATCTTATATTACTCATGATTTAATGGTTCTACATTTTTGAGCAGTAGCATTGATCGAAAAATACTTCTTTTTAAAAAGATAAGATTCCAGTGTGTAGCACCTTGAACTCGTACGAGTCTCACTTTGGTGACTGTGCATGTGCAACTAGCATTGTTCTTCTTATCTACGGATACATTATAAAGCTTTGCATTTTGTCACCAAACAATTAGATATGCTCAGCCATACAGTATGTTGATAGTCCCTTTTCTTCCTCACTTGTCTGGCCTTTAGACTCCGTTATTTTTGAAGTAGCAAAATTCCTAGTCGAGTGGGTCCCAATTCTCACATTATCAAGTATGTTCTGACCAGGAGGAAAGGTGTAACTAGCAACCAGCTCCTACATGCCCTTGGGAAAACTCATTCCTCTCCGGCAACATTTTCACCGGAATTCCGATCACCATATCACTCACATTCCCCTCTGCTGTCATCTCCAACCGAGGAGGGCATGGTGTCGGGGGGTTCCCTTCCAACTTTACTGCAACGTTCACAACCCCATGCCCCCTCGAACCATCTCTATCCCTTAACCGATAACTTAAGAATTGGGTCGACCCCATCGGAATTAACCCCCCGACTATATCTGACACCGGAATCAGACACCATCCCAGTTGAGTATTACCCATCAAAAGATGCTTGGTGTAAAGTTGGAGATAAATTCCTGATTTTCTTATGTGAAAAAATGTTTGATCAAGAGGTAACTGAAACTTGTCACCCCATGTGGGATTTACACCTCCTTTTTCATCAACCTTTGTTTTGTACACTTTCAGCTGTTTATCACTGTACGTGGTGGTGATGGTTATGAACGGCCTGAGGCGGCGGCGGCGGCAGAAAACAGAAGAAGCTAATCTGAGATCTTGAGCTGATATCAAAGTGATTTCTACAAAACAAGGATGGCTGTAGTTTTGCATGGTTGAATTATAATAGCTACAAAATTGTGAAATGAAGTTGTATGAATCCGTGCATATATAAGAGACACTGAAAGGTTGGTAAAAAGAGATTTCTTGGGGGTTTCATTGTTCATGAGATTGTTACAAGGCAACTTCCTCTTTGTGGAAAATTGCGCGCTGGAAATTTAAACTTAAATTGATATTTCTATTTATTTAAGTCATGACTCAGCAAACTACAACTTTTGATGACACTAGTTGGACTCCGTCAAGGATTTTTCTTGGACTCCGTCAAGGATTACTATTCTTACTTTAATTTTTTCTCCTTTTTGTTTTGGTGCAACTTTTTCACGAGCTCGTAAATTTTATTCTCACTATTTATTTATTTTTTATAAAATGAGAGAACTAACTTACCCGTCTCGAGCAACATTAATGGATCCAGGACATGACCTGCGCCTATGACGAATATCAACTAGAAGTCGGATCTACAATTAAGACTACTACAATATGCTGCTTATTATGAATTAATTTGGAAAATGGGTCTACCTCGAACGACTAACTATTTTGGTTTGCTTCCCCTTTCTTTCTGTAGATTCTCTCTATTGAGTATCGTTTCTTAGACTATGATCTCTTGAAAAGTTAAAAGTTCGTTACGAATGATTCGGAATCCATAAAGAGTTATATAACGATTTATATACAGATGATGTGTCAAAAAGATAGTAGAGATTTTTTTTTTTTTTTTCATTTTTGGTTGAAATTTTTTTGGCCCAAACATATTTCATCACATTAAGTGTACGTAAACCACTGTGCTGGAAAAAATTAAAATTTTAGTTAGCTCATCACGTAGTCAAGTACAAATATAAATAGCTCTCGTTTGGCACATTTTTTCGTGGGTTAAGTTATTGTACATCACTTTTGACATTATTCAAGTTGGCATGATTTGATTGGTGAAAAATTGTTTATTTTTTTGAAACTGTCCAATATCGCTTTATCACGTGATACGATGTAAAAAATAATATAAAAAGTAATGTACATGTAATATGATTCTGTTTTTGTATAGTCGAATTGACTTTTCTGAAGTTGAGTGTAAAGATTGAAATTTCTCCTGGTTATCTGGCATGAAATAAAAATATGGTTTGCTGTCAGTGTCAAGTGTCGCTACTTGTGGAATTTTACCCAATAAATATGAATTTAAATATTTGAAAGCAAAAGGTGAGAATTTTCCTCGAGCCTTCTACTTAGCCCTATTTGGTACACATTCTTTCAAAATACATTTTTTAAAAACTTATTTTCAAACATATATTTTTCATCACATCAATAACTTTTTTTTTTTACTTTTTTAATCACATATTTCCCATCGTATTACTATTTAAAATATATTTTTTCCTCAATAATATCCATCAAATATATCCTTAATGGGGAATTTTCCTTCAACTTTCACATGTAGAGCGATTTCAAATTATGCCAACACAAATTGAACGGAATACAAAATATATTACTAAATTTTTCCTTCATTAGACCAAGTCTTACCTCTCTCAATTTGAATTGATCACACCAAGGACAAACACTTAAATATAAAAACATGATGACTTATGCCAACACAAATTGGACGGAATACAAAAGGACAATTTTGCCATTAAGTAAAATGTTAGAGATGTTTGTTTCAAAATATATTACTAAATTTTTCATACATTAGACCTAGGGTCTGTTTGGTAGGAATTCTCATTTTTTACAGTAAATCAATTCTCATTTTCAACCACATATTCTTCAATAAAATAATATTTTCCATCACATCAATAATTTTTTCTTCTTTTTCAACCACACATTTCCCATCATATCACTATTCGAAATCAGTTTTTCCCCCAAAAAATCCCTACTAAACAAGCTCCAAGTCTTTACCTCTCTCTCAATTCGAATGGACCACACCAAGGACAAACACCTAAATATAAAAACATGACGACTTCGAGCGAGCTCCATGGGTGTGCTAAAAAAATTAAAAAGAATTTGTGATAAATAAGGTGGCCTGTGGACTTTTGTTGCTCTCTATTGTGCTTTCGAACTAATATGTTGCATTTTTGTCAATTCAAACTTGTTCGATCTGTTCATTTAAAGATAAGAAACCATTTGTGTAACAATCCCAAAGGTTAGGAACCATTTGTTCCAATTCCCCCATTTTAATACATATATCGATGAAGAAAATCAACTATGAAAATTATTTTAGCAAATTGCAAAAATCCCCCCTATGCATGTGATGACATATACCTAGACAACCTTCCCCCTGCAAAAATTAGAAAAGCGCCCTCAAGGTTTATTTTGAGTAACATATTCCCCTTTCATTATTTTTAATTTTTTCAATGCACTCTTTAAGGGAAAAAAAAGTATTAAATACCTAAATTACCCCATACTCCTTGTCAACTTATTTTCAGTAATACTTTTTCATTAGGTACTTTGTGTTCACATTTTCAAGCCTTTACGGGGTATTTAATGGCTATTATTGAGTAAATAATGTATTTTAAATAGTGATATGACGAAAAATATGATGTTAAAAAGTAACAAAAAATTATTAATGTGATGAAAAATATTATTTTATTGAAAATATGTGGTTGAAAATAAGATGGTTAATTATATTACCACTACAAATTTTATTAAGTACACCATAATTTTCTTATTTACTTAAATATCCTTAAGTAAGAGTACATAATTAGGGTTTTAATATACTTTTTAATTAAATAAATTATTGTTACACCACAAATATAAAAGCTAATTTCTTTCTTTCTTTTTCCTTAAAATCTCATTGCTCATAGCTATTCCGGATGCTTTTACTTTCTTCCACGGAGGCAAGATAATTTTATTTTCTTCATGATAAATGAATTTATACTCCATTTGACCATTGTATCTCAATTACTTTTACGTTGTGTCTATATTACTTCCTATTTTTCATACTGCTTCTACATGGAGCAAATCATTTCACTCGTCTCACTTAATTCACTTCACGTCACCCAGCGTGACAGTCTAGTGGACTAGTTGGTTTGCTGATAATTGGTAATATATAAAGATAGTTCTAGATAGCTGGATCTTCTGCGGGAAGTTAATCTTCAAAGTTGGATAAACATTTTTTTGAGTTCCTAGAACTTGGATCTGAAAACCTACTACTTAGTTTTATAATTTGTGTTTTACTCCATATTTCTGTTTTTAACATTCCAGAGAGATTTTCAGGGGGAGATAGATATATGGGAGCATAACTTGCACTTTTATGTTTTCACCATTATAACTTTTATGGTGACGAGTACACCACATTATTTTTTTTTATTTTTAGTTTTTAATAGAGTATAATTGTAAATTTATTGTGGTGTATGTATTGAAAATATATTTTAATTGTGGTGTAATTATAATGTGGTATAACAAGTAAATTTTATAGTGATAATATAATTACCCAAATAAGATTTGAAAGAACGTAATTTAAAAGAATGTATGTGAAACAGGGGCTTAAACTTTACACAAATGGGTATTTATAACCCTTTAATTTTAGTAATCAGGATTCAAAATCTTTAAAAAGTGTGCTTAAAGCAACTTTTATGCTAACTAGGAAAAAATCAAATGAAAAAAGAAAAAGAAAAAGAAAATAAAAAATATAATTAATATCAATTTTTTCTCGACTCCTCGATTGTAACTGAAAAATTCGCTCAAAAATTTCACCCAAACAACAAAGACCAAAGGAAGCAGCTCAGAGAACACTGGATAGACTTTGGCCAAGAGCGCCTCTACTGGCTCGAATAAGGAATTCAGGTTGGATTCATCATCTTTTTTGATTCCTAATTTCCTTCGAATTTCTCATATTTCATGAATTTATGGGCTTTTCTGGGTTTTTCGGTTGTTAATTTTTACATCCTGATGGGCATTTGCCAAGAGGCAAAACAATAGGGGGCGGAGACGATTGAAGCAATCGTCTCGAGTTCGTAGTGCTTTATCTTCGAGGTATTCCAAAATATTTGATGTGAGAATCAAATCTGGCTGTTTCTGATGGATTCTTGCCCACGATTAGATGACTAAAAAGTAAAAATAGGATGAATTAGGATTAATCAGCCAATTAAAGCTTTCTTAATCTTGCATATGTTATGTATTTTTCTGTTGTACTCTTTGGAGGAAGACCATTTGGTGAGGAAAATGAAAAAAAAAAAAAAAGGGCAAATTGGTTAAAATTCTTTTAAACGAATTTCATATATCGAATTATTCTGAAAACATTATTCACTATCTTTATTAATCATTGGTCGTATGCTTGGCCATTTTTCATTTTCTCGCTCCAGTTCTTAAGAAATTTCCGTACTGAAAAACCCAAACGGGAAATGCTTAAGGCCAAAGATTGAAGCTTTGGAGCTTTTGAGTGGAGAAACTCAGAAGGACTTTACAGATTGAAGAGAGGAAGGGAGGTGTGGGAATGCTACTGAGTTTTTGTTTTTTATGACAACAAGAAATAGTGAGTTGAGGAAGATGAAGAGTCGAGTCTCTAAGTCATGGAGGAATCGTGTTTTCTCCCATTATGTAGCCTTGAAAAATTGGTTGAGTTTGTCTAGTTCACGTGCAACATGAGAAAAAAAAGTAACTGAAAGAGATGAAGCTTATTTTAATAAGAATAGACTGGCAATTTGATGTATAAAGGTGGTATTTTCAACAATTTTTTCAAAACAACCATTTTCGCTTTGACTATTACAATATGGCCATTTTGAAAAATTCCTCTATTTTCTAAATTTGCGAATGTAGATTACTTATTACTGTTGTTGCATCCGAGTTTTTATGTGTTTTTGTTGTCATGGGCTTAGCTGTTGCATGTCTGTATTTTCGTTCGTTCATTATTGCTGATTTCTCATGTCTGCTCTTAATGAATTATTTTTCATGGGATTTTTATTATTCTTCTGTAATCTTAAAAATATTGATTGTTTACTACAGTAGTCTGATCTGATATTTTTGGCTAATTACTGTTTTAATAATTATGCTCCTGGATTCGACAGATGTGCCTTTGAATATAAGCTCAAGCAAGAGATCGTTGAACTGCACTTTATATCAGTGACTACTAACTCCTTGAAATTGGGATTTTGCAATTAATCTTGAACAAATTGCAGAATCAAAAGTTGAATTCAAATAAAGTTTGGGTAATCCCAACTCATCCAGTGCGGGGTGGCTTTTTAGCCAAGTGAACTGAGTTGAGTAACTTTGTGTTCACGGCGAGTTTTCTTGTGAGTTCATTATATCCCTGCTATTTAAACAATGTTAACAGCCCATTCAGTGGCCATTTCAATTTTGCCACCCATCATACACCCACCTCCAACTGCATTAACATCCCAAACGATATCCTCTTGTCTTCCAAAATTAACACCCGGATCCAAGAGCAGACTGCGGAACGGCAAAGCTAGAGTTTTCACTCAATCCCCGATACTTGCAATCCTCTCTGACCCACTTGTTCTCCAACTTGCAGAAACTCTTGAAGACTCCCTCCAGTCATCATCATCTGCACCTCTGCCTCCTCTGCAGAAGCTTAGAGACATATCCTCCCAATCCCTTCTCTCGACCTCATGGCCTTCACGGAAGGATGAAGCTTTTAGATTTACTGATACTTCTTTTATCAAGAACTCTCATATCGAACCCATATCACTCTCTGAGTCACAATCTTTGGCTCCTTTGCCGGATTCAAGTGATGCCCTTTTTCCGTTAAATGTTACTATACTTGATGGATATTTAGTGGACTCTTTGTCACATTTATCTGAATTGCCTGATGGGGTGTTTGTTGGTGGTCTGTCAAGCATAAATTCTGAAGCTACAATGAAAAGGGTATCTGAATGTATACCAAATTTTCAGGGGGACTTGTTTTGGCTACTTAATGGAGTGGGTGCTCCTGATATAATTGTTATATATGTGCCGGAGGGGTGTAGAGTTGACAGTCCATTGCATTTGAAGTACCTTTCTCTGAAAGGAAGTGAAAAGGATTCAAAAACTTTGCCAGTTTCAAATCCGAGGGTGTTAGTTTTGGTGGAGAAAGGCGGGGAGATTGGTTTAGTTGAGGAATATACCAGCGTAGATGGGACTGATAAGTCTTATTGGGCAAATTCAGTTATGGATATTGTCGTTGGGAATGGGGCAAAGGTCAGCCATTCTTATATTCAAACACAGTCCTTGGGTGCTGCACATGTTAAATGGACTTCGGTTCGCCAGGTAAAAGTTCTAGTCTTATGTCAACATCATGTGGTCATCATCTTTTTTATTCTATATCTTTGCCAGTGTAGTTCATTTTTGGTTGATTAAAGGATGCACCAAAATATTTTAAAAAACTTCAAACTAAGGGGTTTCTTGATTCGATTTTTGTTCACACTTTTTTAAACCTTGTTTTATTAAATAAAATTTATGTTTTTTTCTTGGAAAACTTGATGATCAGTATATAGTCTATAGTCTACCATGGTAAGAGAGACTCTTGAGACTGATCTTTTTCTATGAGTTGGTTTGGTGAGGATAGAAATCAGAGGCTATATAGTAACCTTATAGCTTACAGTTTCAAGTTTTGGCATCTTTTGCCTAACAAATTTTTATAACAAGGATTATGCTTTTTGAAATTGAACCTATATTCTATAAAAGACACTTAAAATTATGTTAATGGACAAAAATATTTAGGTCATCGAGAGAGGGAGGACTACAAGAGGAAGAATATAAGCTAAGAAGGCATCCGTTTTCTCTAAAAAGTTAGCTATTGAAGGGTTATTTTCACAAGTGAGTATGCCTTAAACAAGTGCATGAATGAGTATATACACACAGCATTTCTCTCAGATTAAAGAAAATCGTTCCATAACCTGTTAACAAACCCCAAATCACATACCATTATTACAATTCAAATAAATCACAGATTCACAAATTATTACAAATCACAAACCCCAAATGATCAAATCACGATACTAAATTTGTAAATCACCAATCAATATATATAAATCACAAATCATCAACCTGTAAATCTAATAACCTATCATTTCCCCAATGAAAATGGCATCAAAATGAACTAAAAAACAAAAAAGAAGAGAGGCTCACACCTACGGTCTAATTCAGTAGCACAAACAAACAATTTATCTACATACAATTTTTGATATATTATTAGTCAAACTCACTGGTTCTTCAAACTAATTGATTCTTTCAAAAACTAGTTACAGTACAATACATTAACTTTGATTAAAATCTAAAGAACTACCTTGAATTGTTGATTCTTGGGCCATATGAGTGCAGTTCAAACAACCGGAAAGCCTGAATGCTGACCTGACCACCAGTCCGCTGATGCAGGATCAACTGACTCCAAGTGTCAACACCCCAACAACCAGTGCAATCAGTGCCAATTTTGCAAACTGATTTTCACTTTTCCTGCCACAATTCATTTTCACAAGCCAATATTTCACTAAAAACCTAGACAAATGAAGAAGGGATTGGTTTGTCTGTGTATCGTTCACAACAAAAAGCATGCCGATGGAAATGGGCCTAATTTTATTTTTTATTTTTTAAAAGAAGAAGAATAGCCCAAAAGGCCAACGATCTTTGAAAAAAAAAAAACAGAAACCCAAAACTCATATTCCTCCTTCAAGCTTCCCGGCGACTGCAACAATCCCAAGTGGCGGCTACTTCCAATCTGTAAATTCTGGTGGAGCCAGCACTGGCGCCTCGCCACTTTGCCGGGTGTTGGCTCCGTCACTGCATTTTGCACAATCCAGAAACTGGCTAACTTACTCATTTTCTTGTTATCTTATTAGCATTTCTTGGATTTTACAGTCCCCATTCAGTTGAAACTTTTTTGCTATAGATAAGCTAATATAATTTCATGTCTGAACCAAAGTAAACTAGGCCTCCTTGCAAAATGTCCAAGCAGATCCCTAGAACAAGAATTGAAATTTTGTAAGTTTCATTGAGTGCATCTAAAGCCACTTGGTCAGTCCTGTTATCGTAACTGATAAACAGTCTCTCTGAAATGCAATTGAAGAATTAATAGTTTAAGGAAGAAAAATGACATTGTTAAAAACAAACATGACTTCTTGGATAGGGTAGTTTTGGGTGAATTAATATCTGTAATGGTGAAAAACTGAAAATGATCTATGCTTCATTTTGGAAATATATTGTTAGCTCTGGAGAGAGTAGTCTTAGGGGATTAACATCCGTCATTGTGGAAAATAAGTGATGCTTCATTTTGCAAAGATATACATTGCGTACTGTATTTTTGAAAAGGCTAAATTGAGTATTGAGGCATTTTGCTTCTGTGAGCGAGATGTAAACCTCAGCATAAACAATTAAAATAAATTCAAGAAATTAGAGAATACAGAATAATACTTATAATAAGCCATACTCCAACAGAAAATTCATAATAAAACTTTTCAGAAAAAATTGAAATATAATTTTCAACTTGACAATTAAAAAGGATTAGAAAAGTAGCAAAATACTAACAAACCAATGGTCATGTAGCAAGATCACTAACCCAAAATCAGGGGTGTGTTTGAACCATTAATTAAAAGAATGTATTTTGGAATATTAGATTGATGGAGAATGTATGGTTGAAAAAGAAGGAAAAGTTATGGGTAACGGGCGCAAAATGTCCCTACCTTAGCCCGTTTTTGTGGAAAACGTCCCTACTTTTCGTTTTTTTGACGCAGAACGTCCCTACTTTTCACATTTTTGTCGCAAAATGTCCTTTTGACCATTTTTTAACATAACATGACCAATACTCTCCTATATAAATAAAACAAAAAAGAAAAGAAAAGAAAATTAAAGAATAAATTGTAATTTTACTCCTAAATTTTTTAAAAAATGCAAATGAGTCCAAAATTTATAAAAATGTTAAAAATAACCAAAAAAAAAAAAAACTCTCTCCCCTCTACCCTAATCAAACGCAGAAGAATCTGATTCCCAATGCTCTCCCCAAATCCATCAAAAACCCACCTCAAATTCAATCCAGTCTCACCACAATAAAATCCCCAAAAGGATTTGGACCCACCTCTAAAAAACTTAAAAAATCCAAAAAACCAAAGAAAAATTACGACACCAACGAAGAAGAAGATGAAGATGAAGAGGATTAGCAAGAAGAAGGCGTTATCCCAGAAATAGTTACCAACAAAATGATGAGTAGAATGGAATTTTCTGTTGTAATTCCTCAGTTTATTGGGCTTTTGTTTTTCCCATTCTTTTACTATCTTAAGGCTGGATTGAAAATTGATGTGCCCACTTAGATTCCTTTGATTGTCTCATTTATCTTCTTTGGGCTTGCTTGTGAGGAAACAGAGGAATTGTTACTGGAGTAAGAGTATACTAAGAGGTTACTTACATTTTGCGGGAAATTTCAAATTGGGTGGCAACATTGAAATTCTCGATGGATTTGAGATGTGAAATTTGGGTATTGATGAATGTAACCTGAAATTAGAAAAAAGGGAAGAAAAAATGGAACAATCATTTATTTTCCGACAACTACCACTCGATCAGAGGCTTTAAGGTGGCTGACAATTGCTGAGAAATTGTTGTTGGCGCGTGACTTGCTTGGAAGCAAGGCATTTGTGACCTAGGCTCAGGATTCTGACCCAACCTTTTGCAGGCTGAGCAAGGCATTTGCGACCCAGGCTCGGGACTTTGACTCGACCCTTTTGCAGGCTGAGCAAATCCTCGCCGTGATTGGGGTGGGTGGTAAGGGGAGGGAGAGTAGAGAATGGAAGTTGGTGAGTGAAATGGCGGTGGAAGAGAGAAGGGATTCCCAGGGATTCATGCTTCTGGCCAGCGACGCCGTTTGGAGGGAGGCGCCGGGTTGCAGAGAGAGAATGGAGGGAGAGAATTAGGGTGTGATATTGGGTGAAATTAAATTAGTGTTTTGGACTGATTTGCCTTTTTAAAGAAGTCTAGGAGTAAGATTGCAATTTATTTTTTATTTTTCTTTATTTTCTTTTTTGTTTTATTTACATTGGAGGGTATAATGGTCATTTTACTTTAAAAATTAGGAAAAATGACGTTTTGCTCAAAAAAAGTGAAAGGTATGGACGTATAAGAAGTAGGGAAAAGGACGTTTTGAGCTAAAAAAGTGAGAGGGAAGGACGTTCTGCGTCAAGAAACGAAAGGTAGGGACGTTTTGCGCCAATTACCCAAAAGTTATTGATGTGATGAAAAATATTATTTTATTGAAAAACCTGTGGTTGAAAATGAGTAGAAGAATGAGAATAAAAAAAATAATGTAGCTCAAATAGGGGCTAGATCTAAAATCTAAAAAAGAGAAATGAAACAAGTGACCAATTAGTTGTTTGTTTACCTTTTTTTTTTTTGCTGTGATAAAAGAAAATCCAGAGACGAGCAAGAAGATAGACAAAACAAGAATTATATTGAAGAAAAATAAGTTGTGTCACAGGTCTTATGTCACCAGCCATTGAAAATTGCAGCTTCACTTTGGGGGGTTGGGGCGGGGGGTAATCACACGTCAGTTGTAGGAGGGTAGGCCATGCCCCTTCACTTGTTCTCTTCTCTAGTTTCTATTTCATTTTTTCTAAGTTATTAGGGTTGAGTTTAAAAAAAAAAAAAATAGCCTCAAAAGGTGAGGCAAATAAAAAGTCTAGAGAGGGCAAGGAAATGGAGCACACACCTCAGCCACCCTGAGGCTTATGCCCTGTGATGCCTCAGTAAGTCAAGGCTTAAAAGAGGCACTCAAGATGCATACTTTGAGTCTCTTAATGAAGGCCTCAGGTGTAAGGCTGGGCAATTTTTTCAATATTGATTGTCAATTGCTTATTGATGTTCTTCTGTGTATGCCCTTATTCATGGCTCCTGCTAAAACGCTGCTCACAAACAATGTTCTCGTCTTCGCAGAAGCAACCTGATTTGTGGATTATGGATATGTAACAGAGAGAATGCTAAAATGACTCCTAATAGTTCTTGGACAATGCATCTCATGCCTTTATCTTTTCTTCATTACTACTAGATTGTCAAACTTGGCTGATTATTTTGCAGGAATCAACTAGCATCTACGAGCTCACGGAAGTAAGCACCGGTGGAAAATTGAGCAGGCACAATTTACATGTGCAGCAAGTAGGGCCAGAAACTGTGACCGAGTTATCAACATTTCACTTATCAATTGGTGATCAAATACAAGATCTACATAGTAAATTAGTCTTGGACCATCCACGCGGGGTTTCTCGTCAACTTCACAAATGTATCGTGGGTCACTCATTGGGGCAGGCTGTTTTTGATGGGAATGTACAAGTCAATAGGTAAAATTTATGCAAATCTTTGCAATTTCTCGTTTTATGTTGGTGCTTATAAACTCGTATGTTTATGATAAGTTTAATTGGTAAATGCAGAGATGCTCAGCAAACAGATGCAGGACAACTAACAAGGAGCCTTCTGTTGGTGCCTCGGGCTACTGTCAATGTTAAGCCTAATCTTCAAATCATTGCAGACGACGTCAAGTGCTCCCATGGAGCTGCTATTAGTGATTTGGAAGACGATCAACTCTTCTACTTCCAAGCACGTGGTATTGACGTAGAAGCTGCAAGAAAAGCTCTTATAATTTCATTTGCCGCTGAGGTGATAGAGCGTTTTCCTAACAGCTTGCAAACGAAAGTCGAGGGTCTAGTAAGAAAATTGCTTGATCCTACAACTCCTTCAAGGTAAGGATTGATCATGTGTAAAACTCTGAGTTATGTTGTTTTGTAACTTCGTTATTGCTATCTTCCATAAATATACAGATCAAAATTCAGTTCTTGAAGTGAAGAAAGCTAATTATTCAAGTTATTATACCACTTTTTGCTATTTCTAATTCTCTTTTATTGTGTATGATAAATATCAAGTGAGATCATTAACTTTCAATATTGTCGTCTTTTAAATTATTCTCTTATATATATTTTCATTTGGAAATGATAAAAGAGTAATATTAATATAAACACGCAAAAAAGGGAAAAAAATGTCTGACTTTCTGACATTCTCTCTATCGAGGACATTTTTTTTGGAGGAAGTAGAGAAAAAATAAAAAAACGTACTTTGTGCTTGGTTTTTATAACAAGACACGAATTTGCACGGTTAACAGAGAGGGAAAAAAATGCGTCCATAGAGTTTATTAATATACAAACAAAGCAATATGCAAATTCATATTTTACCTATAAAATAAAATTACGAAAAATATACCAAGTTTTCATATGCATGCTATTAAGGGCGTGTTCGATAAAGATTAAAATCGGATTAAAATTGAAAAATTAGTCGTTATTGTTTACTTTTATTAGATGAGTGAGATCTAATAAAGACTATATTTTCAATTTTAATTAGATTTTAAGCACGATTGAACATGCCCTATAGCTGACCAAGATTCAGACCAAATTTCTAGTCTCACCTTAGAAAAAAAAAAAAAAAAACCTTTTTGTGAACCTTTTACAGAACTTTATGCTTTCTTTAGTTATAGTACAAAGTTTAGGGGTCTTAATGCAAATTTTATGTCTAGATAAAATCTTGGGTTTATCTCACGTTCTTATTTCTCATTGCAACGTATCATCAATTTTCTCTCTACGGATACTGCTGCCACTGCAACCAATCATCGGCTAATCGAAGGTGGAGTCTTCTCTCTCATTCTCTCTCAATCTCTCTCAGTCTCTCTCTATATATACATCTATGTACAGCGTATATGTATGTGAGTTACCGAAATTTGTAGTCCACCTGTTTGATAGAATGGCCCGCTTATAAACTGCTCTCTGAATTGCCCTGATACTGTCAATAAAAGTTCAATTATATTCTTTAGCTGGTCATATAAGTATGATTTTCATATTTGATGCATTCCTTTTAATATTTATCTTATTTGCTGATTGTATAGTTACGTAGAGAGATGCCTGCTTTACCGGCAAACAGGGTGCTTCTTCTTGTTGGTGACTCTTTTTGCTTGAGAAAAGTTTCTGGGTTTTCGTGGGTAGCTCCAGTTCGTAGCAGTGTGAGGTTTTTTGGTCGTTTTAGTAATGAAATTAGTCCTCTCACTCTCGCGAGTCTTGGTATAAAGAGTGAATTTGAAACTGCAATTGGGAATGAGAAAAATAAACTGAATCAAGGGGTTTCCACAATTGAAGTCCCAAGAAGAAGAGAGAAGAAGGTTAATATTAGTGGAATTAAGGGTGTGAAGAAGAAAGAGAGAGTTGATATAGAGGCATTGGCCCCCTTTGCTGCAAAATCTTTTTCTGAGCTTGGCCTCCCACCGTTATTAGTTGAGAGGTTAGAGAGGGAAGGCTATGAAGTTCCCACAGATGTTCAGGCTGCAGCCATTCCCCCAATTTTTAAGAATCATGATGTTGTTATTCAGTCCTACACGGGGTCGGGGAAAACATTGGCGTATCTTCTTCCCATACTCTCTGAAGTGGGACCACTTAAGAAGGATAATCAACCTAGAGACAATATGGACATAGAAGCTGTGATTGTGGCGCCTTCAAGGGAGCTTGGAATGCAGATTGTGAGGGAAGTTGAGAAGCTTCTTGGACCTGCAGATAAGAGATTGGTGCAACAACTTGTTGGAGGCGCAAACAGGTCGAGGCAGGAAGAGGCTTTAAAAAAGAACAAACCAGCCATTATCGTTGGAACACCTGGGAGGATTGCGGAAATAAGTGCCGCCGGCAAGCTTCATACACATAGCTGTCGATACTTGGTTCTAGATGAAGTGGATCAACTCCTTGCATTTAGTTTTAGGGAGGATATTCATCGTATAATACAGCATGTCGGTAGGAGATCTGGTGCCAGTCTGCCTGGTGCAAATGGTCCTAAAACTAGGCAAGCTGATCGTCAGACTATCATGGTGTCTGCAACAGTGCCGTTTTCAGTGATTAGGGCAGCTAGGAGTTGGGGTTGTGATCCACTTCTTGTCCAAGCCAAAAATGTTATTCCACTAGAATCTGTTGCTCCCCATGCACCTGTTAACCTGTTAGGAACTTCTTCTGATTCCAATTTAGGCACAAACGTACAGACTCCAGCCCCAATGTGCCTACCACCTTCTCTGAAACATTATTATTCCGTTACAAGGGTACAGCACAAAGTGGATATGTTAAGAAGATGTGTACACGCAGTTGATGCCAAATGTGTGATAGCTTTCATGAACCGCTCCAAACAACTAAAAGATGCTGTATTTAAGTTGGAGGCTCGTGGAATGAAAGCTGCAGAGTTACATGGAGATCTGAGTAAGCTTTCTAGATCAACCATCTTAAAGAAATTTAGGAATGGGGAAGTGAGGGTGTTGTTGACGAATGAACTTTCTGCTAGAGGATTGGATATACCAGAATGTGATCTTGTAGTTAATCTGGAATTACCCACTGACACAATTCATTATGCACATCGAGCTGGCCGAACTGGTCGTCTTGGCAGGAGGGGTACTGTGGTCACCATATGCGAGGAGCCAGAAGTCTTTGTTGTTAAGAAGCTACAGAAGCAGCTTGGGGTCTGTATTGAGGCTTGTGAGTTTACAGAGGGGAAACTTGTTGTGAACGAAGAAGAGAAGACATAGAGGCCTTGAGGTAGTTACGCATTTGAAAAATGTTATAACAGTGATTCATGATGGAACTTTTATCAGGTTTCTGTATTCCTTTTTTGTTTTCACTAGTAAATCTCATAATCAGAAGAGATTGGCAGCCTGAAATGGTGGTCTAGAGCTCCATCGAGTCCGACGTTGTCTTTGCTCTTACCTCTTGGCGTTGTCAGCACAGTGGCTCGGCTAGGGAGTAAGATGGAATAGGGGAAACACTAGACATTGATCCACAAGTAATCAGTGTGCCATTTCTCTCTTTCATTCCAGTTCCTCTCTGTAACTGATGCTTTCTTAAATGAAGTCCTGCCAAGACTGTTTAAACTAGCTTCTGGTGAGTTAAGATAGAATGGGTTCAACTATTGTTTATTTTATTTGACAATTGCAGTCTAAGATTCTTGCATGCCACCAAATTTAGTTAGTTTTTCTTCTTTAATTATCACAACAAATTTGTCAATAAGTAGAGGCGAAACCGACTGACAATAAATTACACAAACTACAATTTACTTAGTTGGGAGTGTTTTGTATAGACTTAAAAAGGACATCTTATTTGTTAGAATGACCTCATCCAGTTCAAGGTTGTCATCGACATTTGAGTTTTTGGACTTCTAGCTTCAAGGAATATGATTTCAATATAGATTGGTTGCTCGAGAGTAACATGATTGCTTTTAGAAATCGAGAAAGATGAGATTTTACGAACCCTTAGCAGCATGGAAATGGGCATCAGTGGGGATGATTGGGAGGAGAGCAAAAGGATCTTTTTGACACTATAATTTGCTTATTTCTTTCGTATTTTTATTCAATTCGTGATCAAGAATACCTATCCACACTTAACTTTAAGAGCATTAGGCGTGCGTACTTAGAATTATATGAACTTTTTGCTCCATTTGCCGTACTTTTTGTTTAATACTCCCTACGTCCCACCGAGATGGACTTACTTTCCTTTTATCTTTTGTCCAAAATTATAGGCCACTTTTCTTGTTGAGAGTATAATTGATTTCTTAGTATTCTAATATTCCTCTATTTTATGTGTCTTATTATCAATAAATATATAGGATGTATTAGGAAAATGTAAGCAAAATTTATATTTTCAACTATAAAAATTAAATTTTTTTTAATAGTTGTAAAAATGGAAGCAAGTCTATTTTTACGGGATGGAGTGAGTATAATATAAAAGCGAGTACACTTCGGTAAAATTTCGCAAGCATACGTGATCGTTGGTAACGTAATAATGTAGTGAGTTAAAAGTATCGCCCCGCGATAAATAATGTCTAATTATGACTTATTAGTTATTATCAAATTCGATAAGTGTTGTAAAATAACATAAATGATTTTTTGTTTATACTACTTTTAAACTACGAAAGTAATAAAAGTTATTTTATGAAATATGTAATGAATGTATTGGATTTCTGAATCCTCTTATTAGAGTTATTTCCAATTCTCGACCTATAAAAAATAATATTATTTTCTTATGTTAATGACAATCGATAATTCGATTTTATTTAATATTATTTTTTCAAAATATATTAAATATATGTTTAGCATGACCCAATTATGTTTCTAATCCGAATTCATATGAAAAATATGCATTAATTCACATGATCTATCCCACAAGATTGCACACGCTATAACTATTATTCTTAATGCATATTGTCTGTGTATTTAATATGTATCGTTCTACTTATTGTGAGTCTCCCAACACTACAAAATAGGCAAAGTTATCCAATTGGTAGCTAAACAATTAAATAACACAATATGAATACATAAATAATCAAAAACCTAAAAAATTACTAAATTCACAAGTCATGAATTGAATTCAACAACTAATAAAGTTCATCATCCATCCAATACCAAGGAAGAATCTAGCCTAACATTTTTGTAATTAAATTACACATGAAAAATTGGAAAAAAGATCACTCGAAATTAAGAAAGAGGAAAAATCTACGTTCTTGACTTGTACCTTGAAACCGGATTATGAATATTCAATTCCTTGTATGATTCGTCTTAATTTGATGTATAGCCCCCGTTTGACACCTATTTTTTTATTTCATTCTCATTCTGATTTTTTTACAGTACTCATTTCTAACAACACATTCTCCAAATAAAATAATATTACACATAAACTCAAAATTTTTTCTTACTTTTTATTTTTTAACTACACATTCTTTACATCAATCACTATTCAAAAACTCATTCTTCAAAAGAATGGGTGCCAAATAAGCCCATAGACTTGTTTTTCACCTCCTAAAATATGTAGAACATGTATAGAATTAGGTCTAATGGAGATTGGGGACGTTTTGGTTGAGTTTTGGAATATATAGGATGCAGAAAATATTGCATAAAATTGTTACCAAACAAAAACAAGGAAAATGTGTTACAATTCTTATTTAGATATCATTTTCCAATTCGAGCATTTGCTGTGCCAAAAATGATTCTTAATTTGAGGCAAAAATGAGGAGCGTAATTTTTTTGACTCAAAATTGATGTTTGATAATATTTTAACTATATTTCATCAATTGGACTTCTTTTCTCATCCAATTGATATCCAGCACTCTTGAATCTTGATCGTGAGGTCCATCACAACTTTTGAATATTTGCATTTTAAAACCCCAAACTTTAGATCTTATACAATTGAACTAACTTTCACCATTTTCCCCAAATTCTTTATCAAATCACGAGTTTTACCCATTAAACACAATACATAACAAATTACGTAATATTTCATCAAAAGAATTACAAAATGTCATTATTTAAAGTATCAAATAAGAGTATAAAATACACTTATTAATTGTAACCTTGTATCTCACCATCATTCATTTAAGAAAGTTTTGTATCAGGCTTTCTGCCCGTCTTCCCACGTGGGGCCCCTACTTGCTGGGTTGGCACTGGCTACATGAGCCAGGAGCCCTCAATTGACTCGATCCCCAGCAGATATGAAAAATGCAAAATCCAATCTTTTTGAAAGAGTTTCAAAATGATCTCCTTTCAACTTGATAAAAAGTACAACTCAAATTCGAAATCGATAAATCCAAGCCATCAAATTCAGGACAGGATTGTAAAGTTGAGTATTTGAAGGGGTCGAAAATCGCCAAATTTTACCTCTTTTAAAATTAGTAAACATGGTGAAAAAAAGTTGTATGTCCATGGTGAAGCGTTATATGAAATTGGGTGGGTATGGTGAAATAAAATCAAATTTGGTAGTCATGGTGACACTAATTTTAAAGTTGGGTGGTCATGGTGAAACAAAATTAAATTTGGTGACTATGATGACACTAAATATAAAGTTGAGTGATGATTAATGGATTTAACCCATTTTGGAAAATATTTTCCATAAAAAAAAATGTTATCACACTTCATAAATATGAACTTGAGTGAAAAAAAAGAACATTTTTCATGAAATACAAAGTCAATCAAACAAACCCTTAAGTGATGTTAAATGATAGATATATTTTAATGTCACTTAGAACATCATTGATATTAAATATCATTATTCTAACTGTAGTTAGAGGCTAAAGTTGCACGAGTTGATATCTTGTGTCCCTTCACTTGAATTTTAATACCTCGCTATAATTTGGAGGCGTCAAAAATTTCAATGAACCAACGATAAAATTTTTGAGGTGTCATAGTTCAAGTAGAAGGACAGTGCAGAGAGCAAATTGGGACTCAACAAAAACTCGACTATATTCTCATCGAAAAAGATGAACTACAAATAATACGTAACTGTTGGTCTAAATTGCAAGTTAAGAAATAACTCCAAAATGAAAATGACCAAGAAAAATATTTTAACAAATCAAGAAATGATGTCAACTCGATATCCAAAACGAAAATGATCAAAAATAACCTATTCGCCATTTGGGCATGAAGATGTCCACCATTTTTCATTATATTCGAATAATCCAAATCCTTGAAAAACTTATTATCAATTTAATAGACCATAGCGTTTCTCATTATTATCTAACTACAGTCAGAGTGCTAACACGAAACACGTTTCACGATAGAATGAAGAATAAATTCATGTACAAGTTCTAGATTTCCCTGAGTATACACAAAAAGTTTACTAGGATGTTGTCACTAAAGTTGAAAGATGTAGCTCAAAACAAGTCGGCCACCATCGTCTAGTGGTTTAGGACATCTCTCATTCAATCCCGAACACAGCATCTCATACATTCTCCTCANAGCATCACCAGTAAGTTAGATGAGCATGTTGGCATAAATGTGAAAGGAAGATGCAAACTAAGTCGTGCTATGGAATCCAAAGTGATTGGTCTGATGCAGATGTTACTGAAGAACGTGCACAAATATAATGTTAAGATTATAAAAATCAGTAGACAAAATTGAGCTATTGGACAGGAGGTACCACCCAAATGATGTATTATCAAACTTAGGTCCCATATGAGTAACAGTTCATTTCTACTCTTGAAAATAAGAACTTGCATGTTGAAAGTGTACAAATACCACCATTAAGTGTTAATATAGAGCATTTCTACTTCTCTTTAAGATCATTTTCTATATTTTCTTGACGAAGGAGAAAAAGATTAAAAGCTTTCTATGTTTTGACTATTCTATTTCTCAACCTAAGCAGGGAAGGCCTAATATATGTACTTTTGTGCTGGTGGAATAAAGCTGCTTAGATATGAACTCTTTTAGAATATTTTTTTCGAACAACACATAAATTTTAGATGGCCCAATATGCCATCAATAAGCATTCCAATATTTCTACCAAGTAGAAGTCTCAAATTAAGTACCATGTAAAATTACTTGTCCTCCACAGAGAGCAGCTAGGATCAACAGGGGTTAGGGTCGGCCAGTGAGATGAAGGGAGATAAGCTTCACTTCGAGCTAAGAAGGCAGGGAAAAACCATATGTGCAAACATGTTTCAGAATCAGAAAATAATCCTTCAATCATATCCCTACAAGGGCCAGGTGTAGAACAATAACTATCTTTCTTTATGGAGCATGCCGATGTACTTCCAAAAGAACTATTTGCAAGTCGAGCATGCTTATAGGATAATATGACACGAGTTGTAAAACAGATAAATGTCAGATTATAGTTCAAAAAGTTCAGCAGTGAAACTGTAAACGAAAAGTTCCAATTTAGAATACAAACTCACCACAAAATCAGTTCATCTAGTCGACTCATATTTGCACCAAACTTGAATCTGATCACATAGTCAGAGAATCAGGAGTACAACATCTAACAGTGGTTGGATCCCACTCCTGATCGAATGCATACTCCAGACGTCTTTCCAGGCATTGTCCAGCTACTGATGTTCCAGATGTAGAAACCTCATAAAGGGAACCACCCTTCACCTCTGCAAAGTCTGCACCTCTAGTATATATTCTGTTAGGACATGAAATTGTACGCATAGAACTGCTAACAGCACTGTAATTTTTTGCATTTTCATCTTGTCTGTAAATTTTCCTTTTTATGATTGAGGGAGTGTTTTTGTAACTCATTGCTGAGTTTCTTAACAAAGACTCAGGACTACTATCATTACTAGAGATACTTAATGAAAGATAAGAGGAAGAGGAAGGAACCAGCTGATGGCTAACATGCATAGCACTCCTCTCTTTTGACTTAGAAATATCTAAATCAGACAATTGGGGTGGCTCACAACACAAGAAACTGTAGTCCTTGTTATTCACAGAAGGAGGTGTTTGGTCGAGTGTTTTTCTTTTGTCCGACTTAAAACTCTCTTCATTTAACCCACACAAAGACAAGCTTAATGAGGTTCCAACAGGAGAGCGATCAAGTCTTTCATCTGTTATACATGGGCCATACTTGGGCCTTTTAGGAGACTTGAACATTCTGTCAGATGTAAAATCTGTTTTGTTCCGATAGCAAGCATTCATGGTCAGGTTTGATGAGTTGGTGAACAAAGGGGACCTGGCATGATTAGCATTGCCTATGTGCTGTTCACGAATCCCATCACTAGTAACACTTCCAGTTCCATCAAAATGATTTCCAGTTAAGGGATTTATCACATTATTTATTCCTTCCTCTGAAGATAAGCAATTTCCCAGCAAACTAGGTTTCAGATAATCTGAATGATCCCTAGCAAAACTAGTATTTCCAAGGGATAAAACTGTTGAACAGGCACGGTCAACATTCAACGAAACCCTTTTATGACCAAGGCAGACTGTTTCGCTAAAGTTTTGGTGCCCTGCTGAATAATCTTGGCGTCCTGGTTTTTTCTTGTCATTGCAGGTATCAGGAGATGTAATTCCCTGCAAATCCAGCGCAGAGAGGCAAGGCATATTCAAATCCAGCCTCTTCTTCACCGAGCAATTCCAGTAATTTTTAATTGCATTATCAGTCCTGTCAAAGTCAAAGAAAGGAATGAAGTAAGTAAATAATCGTCGAAAGATAATAGTAGGTTGATCAATCAACAGTGATCTTAACAGTAAGTTAAAAATAAATATACCTATTACTAGTTATTATACTAATGAAAACAAGTATTCTTCCATTTCTTTCCCTCCACTTCTTCCATTTGATTTTTTTTTTTCATTTAAACCCACCCACCCACCCCCACCCCAAAGAAGAAGAAGTAAAGAATAAGTTTAGGCTGCATAATAGAAATAATGAATTCCTAAATCGCTTAGAGAAAAGTAAATCTTTCACAAGATTAATCTGAACCCACCCACCCACCCACCCCCACCCCCACCCCCACCCCAAAGAAGAAGAAGAAGAAGAAGTAAAGAATAAGTTTAGGCTGCATAATAGAAATAATGAATTCCTAAATCGCTTAGAGAAAAGTAAATCTTTCACAAGATTAATCTGATACGAGTTGTACATGTGAACATGCAGGTAATGCTAAAAAAACATGTCACGTTGATATGAAATAATAAAATAGATACCTTCCAGGTAAAAACCTTGCAATTTCTGCCCATTTATTCCCATATAATTGATGATAATAAGCTAAGATTGATGATTCCTCTTCAGTCCATGCATCTTTTTTTACTGCTGGATCCAGATGATTATGCCACCTTTACGATCATGTGCAACAACAGAACTTCAGAACATAGGCCAGATCTCAACATCAGGTAAAAATATCAGAAGTTCAACTACATCATGTAGTGGAGTACCACTCTTGCTCTATTTAAGAAGAGAAGTGTCCAAATGTCCCAAAAAGAATAAATAGAATCCAATCTTATGCTTTCCACGTGGAAGTACCTATTTAATGAGGAGAATGTTGAAGACTATTTAAATGATAAGTCCTATCTAACAGTTTAGACTTTTAGATTAAGTGGTTCAACGCTAGCTACAGAAAACAAGGGGAAATCAAGAATACATGGCGTAAATGTGATCTATTATTTGAACAACAAAAAAACTGCCTTGAAGCATGTCTTTCATATTCCTTTCTAAAAGAAGAATATCAAACTATCATTATCAATAGAGTCGAACTTGTCGATCAAGTAAAGTAACATTGAAAAAAAATTATCATATCATGATAACCTCAGTTCAGCATCTACACAAAGAAATAAAGAACCTTTGATTTGCAAGAACCTTATTATAGATGCAAGGAGGTCCATCATGAACAATTGTTAGATAGTCCTTACTTTATTAGATCGTTAACAAAATCAACATAATATCATTCATGCGATTAATAGAAAATACATATAACCAAACCTTTCTCGGCACTGCTTGCCCATACGACCTGGTAAAGACTTTGCAATAACAGACCATTTCCTACATCCATACTTCCCAACTAACTCAATTATATGGTCATCCTCCTGAAGTTCACACAAGGGGAAGTCAGAAGTGATTATATATTAATGATAAGGACGTGATAAATGCATAATAACTTAATGGAAAGTGTCTTCGGTATCATTACTAAGCAGCCAAAAACTCTATAAAAAAAGAATAAAGAACCTCTTTCGTCCAAGGGCCTTTCACAACTTCTGGATTAAGAACCTTCTGCCAGCGATGCAAGCACTGAACATCTGTCCTTCCAGATATGTATTCAGCTGCTCAAAAGAAAATTTAACTAATCAATAATTGGGAGTTGAGGGCAGTCGTAGTTTGAAGACTTCCTCAACTACCTATCAATGACTAAAATTTAAAAATATCCGTTCCACGCCAATAGAATTGTTCACCAGAAGTAGTCTTTCAAGTCTCATCTGAACAGTTCTCATAACAACCATCAAACTCAGACCTCAATGAAAATGAAACGCAAAAACATCAATGCAGACCAGGATATCTTTAATAGAAGTTTTCTGCATAAAAGAAAGTCTGCTAAACGCAATGGGGAGCAACGGAGAAGCAAGATGCAAACAAACCTATTTTTTTCCAATTCCTCCCATTGAATTGTTGTACCACCTCAGTCAGTAGTTTATCCTGTCAACAGCAGTGAGGGATTTAGTTGCAGAACCATAGTAATAGATCAATTGAAAACTTTAATGGAACTGGGACCAAATTTTGAATTTTGTAGACATTTGTTTCTTTCTCATACTGTTTCAAAATTTCTTTTCTTTTCCTTTGCCAAATTCACTTTACAATCTAATAATAATATGAAAACCCATAAAGAGTAACTCATTATGGTAAACCAACATTGCATTACAGTCAAGGTTGGAAGTCTAGTTCCAAACCTCTTCTTCTGTCCAGCCTGCCTGTGAAGCGCGTCTTGTTCGACCAGAACTTCTGTGACAAGTGAAACTATGTGGGAAAAACAAATAAAGAAAGCATAAGATGTCAAAGGTGATGTATATAGATTCAGCATACATGTCTGTAGCGCTAAAAAGGGAAAATAACTGTAAAAGACCCCCAAAATCACCAATCTAGAAGATATGTTTACTTTCACCTCTTACGTACGTAATACATTAGGAAAAAGTCTAATAACAGAGCACCATACAGATGATTTCTGCAGATTGAAATTCGACAACAGGCAGCAGAGTCACATAATTTTGCAGATAACCGTTTAGGATAAAAAGACCAGTTTAACTTTCCAAAACAATTGGCTCAATGACGTCAAAACACCTTCTAAACAATAACAAAGATGATAGAATAAAGTCAGTTCGACCTATATTCGGCTGCAAAAAGAACCAACTCAAATTCAGACAATTTTCTTAATCTTCGACTTTAAGCTCCCAAGACCCAGATATCAAACACAGGTTTACAACAATTACTTAACCTCATACCCAGAATCAACCGAAGATCTTGTGGCGAGAGTTTCACCACTCCTATCTGAAACCGAAGAATATGTAGCGGTTCCAACTTTTTTTGTTAAATCCAGTGAGCACAATTCCTCCTTGACTTGAATCATAATTTCTGCACCTATTACAGTAACTAATCAACAACCAAGCAAATCAAGGTAATATCTCATGTTCATAAAACCAGTTTTGGGGGAAAAAAATTGGTTGGAAACGAACACGTAGAAGACTATGGGGGCAGAATTACAATTTGAACAAAAAATTTACACATTTTCGCTGTAAAATACTAACACCGTTACCCAACCAATTAGCATATATATCTATTTGCATAAGCAATTGATCAAAATACAAGAGCTCACACACGAAGAGAACACGAAAAGGAATCAATTACTGACATTTGCAGAAAACAAAGCCGAACTCCGAAATTAATCAATCAAACAACAGATTGAAACTTCTCATTTCATCTTCGAGATAGATAAAAGATAATCTTTATACAGTTTTCTTACAGGCCGTAACACGATTAACAAAATCCATAATCAAGTATACACAAAAACTTAATCTGTAAATCAATAGACTAACAAATTCAAACAAATAAACAACAAACCCAAGAAACGAGCCAACCTTAAGGATCTAACCATTAACTGTACTTTACACTTCAATCTTCATCCCCTCTTAACCTGTAACCGTCAATTAATTAAATATAAAAAGGAAGAGAAAATCTATACACACACACACACAAAAAAAGTATAGATACTCGTGGAAGTGTAACGTACCTTTGGAGTTCGGGAGTTTAACAGCGGAACTGTAGAGAGAGAAAGTAGTAGCGGGAGAGTCCATTTATAAATGGACTGATTTGAATGAGGGACATTCAAGAAAAAGCTGACGTAAGAAGAAACAGGCAGTGCGGTTTGGATCATCTGTAGCCGAGATTTGTGCAATCGGATTACGAAATTTTTAATTCTGGTTTATTACTTTATATATCTATGGGTAGAGTAATAAATTGCTCTTCCGTGGTTCATGATTGTTGCACAATCAATTATAAATGGACAGAAATTTAATAATTCAAGACAGGTGGCCCAAAATTCAAAATTACGTTGTTTGATATGATACTACTAACTGGTGAGAAGATATTAGTCGTAACTGGCAATTTGCGACGGTTTGGTTTCATAAACATATTCAACCCGATACATCTGACGAGTTACCCATGCGATCTTTCTTCTACAGACATGGCTTGATATTCATATTATACAACATTGTGGGGTCAGGAGTAGCATTTTATGCATTAGTATGTGGGGTCAGGAGTAGCATTCTACACATCTAGTCTATGCGTCTGGTTGATATTTCTTTTGTGTTTCTGTCTTGTCGCAGCAATGAACTCCGTAAACGTCTCCATCATCTGCAAATCAAGGACTTTCGGTCTGCTCGTACCTAGTGGCTGCAAGTACGTGGAACTAGTTGAGATGATCTCAATCAATATGAAGATTGACAACATTGTTGGCTTGAAAATAGAATACGAAGTGGTTGCTAATCTGTCCCCGATTAGGATTACAGATGATTACTCACTAGTCACTCCTTTCTATCTTGAGCTGAAGAGGAAGGATTATTGCAGGTGTTTGGAAAAAACAAAAAAAAGGGGGGGAATCGAAAAGGACAGTCGAGCATTTGGACAAGATGATGCAGGTGAAAGAGACTGTCTTTAGTCAGTCAGTATTCTTTCAGGTATCAGCAGTTAAAAGAGCTTTTCAGCATGTCTGGAGGATACATTCTCTGCAAGCTGGTTCCTGTGTAAATAACATAATTATAGGCTATATAAAGAGAATCCGACCAAGAGATTCACCCAAACACACATACAAAATCTTTATCTGGCGTCAGAATTCCAATCTCTTTATCAGTAGAAACCTGACAACTGAATGAATGTGCTTTTTACACTACTACTCATAAATTTAGGCACTCGTGAATGGTTGATAATCTATTGATAACTAGAGAAAGTCGTAGTATAATTTGAATATTTTATAAAAACAATGTATGTGGTGTAATTTCAAAAAAGAAAAAAAATTAATAGTGATGTCAAAATGGGTTGGACAGTCCGTACCCGAAATGACCCAGTTCGTTGAAAAAACAGATTGAAATTAACTTGGCACTGTTTGTCATAATGAACGGATTGTGTAAACTCGATTGTCTAGCTTGACATCCCATGAGGACGATTTTATTGGAACGGTTATCAAAAAAAGTGAATTTAGAAGTAAATTAAGGCCCTGTTTGGGATTTTTTCTACAGTAAATCAATTCTCATTTTCAACCACACATTATTCAATAAAATAATATTTTCCATCACATCAATAATTTTTTTTTCTTTTTCATCCACACATTTCCCATCATATCACTATTCAAAATCAATTTTTCCCCCAAAAATCTCTCCCAAACAAGATGTTGAGGCATATTTCAGTTCTCGATCCACACCTTTGTTGTCTAAATTATGAATACATAAAATTTTGTTTTCTACATTTTCACTTTTTCTTTCATCTCAAATATGCATTTTTCAAGTTAATTTAAATAGCATTAATTTTTATTTTTATTTAAAAAAAAAAAAAAGACGAGTTGACCGACCCATCCTACAATATTGGGGTCTATAAGACGATCCAGGCCTAATCTAAATCATATTTTTGAACGTCTTGTTGTAGGCGAGTCGGTCTAGGTTGATCTAACCACCTTGAAAATTCTTCATCTTTCGTTTAGTTATGTTTCACGAGTCCAACTTTACGCTTTTAGATTTACATCCTAATTTAGATTGTGCTCTAAATTTTAAAAATAAGACCTGATGTGTAAAATTTATGTCACAATTTGAAGGATATTAGGATGATTTACGCACGAGTGAAAGTGTGAAATTATTAATAAAAATTTAGGATCCAATTGCTTGTTTATAAGGATTAGGAACTATCTTGTAATTGAGTCAATATAAGTTGGAGCGACCCAAATTTTAAAAATCTGAATTGTTACCTAATCCATTTTGTTCACGCAACTTAACAAGAATACTCTAAATATACATGACAAAATGATATACTTCGTAATATTTCTTTTTGTTGTAGAAAAACAGTGAGCAATTTAAAGAAGGGTAGATAGTACAAAACGTCTCTATCTTTCAATGTCATTGTGCAAAACGTCTATATATTTCATTTTTTGACATTTTCATCCCTACATTCCACCTTTCATTGCACAAAAGGTCATTTTCAACCATTTTTCAATAAATGATGATTTTACCCTTCTATTCAAATGAAACAAAAAGATAAGAAAAGAAAAGAAAAAATAAACAATTAATTGCAATCATAATCCTAAATTTTTCAAAATATTACAAATAAGTCCTAAATTCTCCATCACAACCACTTTCACAACAGCATCAAGCCCCCACCTATAGATCCACATAGCACCACCTACTGACCACCATGCCCGTTGGACTCCACCACCACTAGCTTTGCTTCGCTCTCCCCAACATCCTCTCCCACAATATTAGTCACAAAATATGTCGAAAACAGCCACATTTGCAGCCTAAAATACCAAACTGCCGCGTACAACCTTTCATAGCAACCCCACTTTCGGCGCCACCCATGGTCGCGCACTACCACGACTGTTACCTTTCACCTCGACGAACCTATACATGGCCTCACATCAATCAAACCTGCCTCAAATCATTCTACTGTAATCTAGACACTGGACAGTGGCAACGTCCATTTTGCCAAACTCTTCTCCTTTAATTCATGCATCCCACAACACTAAATCCACAAATTGGCATCAATCGAACCATCAACAAACCCAAACGACAATGTGTATGAATCTAATTGAACCAATTATCTCCTCAACTGTTTCAAGTTCTGGTCCAAAACTCTCCTCGGGCGTGATGCACGGAGAGAGCTATCGACCAAAATTGGTGGGTCCTAAGTGCTTCAATCTTCAAATTCGTGTAGGGGAGGACAACGAAAGAGTGAAGCGAGGTTGGTGGTGGTGGAGTCCCGTGGGCGTGGTGGCCGAAATGTGGTGCTATGTGGATCTATAGGTGTCAGCTTAGTAGGTTGTGAAAGTGGTGGTGGTGGTGGAGAATTTATGATTTCTTTATAATTTTTTAAAAACTTAAGGAATATAATTGCAGTTGGTTATTCATCTTTTTCTTTTTGTTTTATTTGAATAGGAGGCTAAAATCGTCTTTTATTGAAAAGTAGATAAAAAGGACATTTTGCCCAATAAAAGGTGGAATATAGGGGTGAAAATGTCAAAAAATGAAAGGTATGAATGTATTGCACAATGACATTAAAAGGTATGGATGTTCTGTGTTATTTGCCCATTTAAATAATATACGGAGCAATCAAATGATGAGATTTTGCACATTTACTAATATGTAATTGAGCTCAAGGATAAAGAGGTGGACCTTATTCATTGATTCGTTTCTTCAAATTCCTTTTCTCAAAAGTTTGTTCAAGCAGGCAATTGAACAAGTTGTATAATTCATCTTTATCAAGTACAGGGACACCAACTATGTGGTGGGTTCAATCTAAATTAGTTCAATTCTATAATAATCTGTGTTTGCAGAAAAGTCCAATTACTTAGATGATTGCATACAGAATATCATTTTATTTTACATGATAGTCAATAATTATAATATTGACTTTACAAATAAAAATAACACATATCTTAGTTCATAACCAATAAATCATGTTTTGAAATCACTAGAAAAAGTTGATATAGTAATAAAACTAAAGTAAATGGTGGAAATAAAATCTTTAGTCACGTTAAACTGGACTTGCCTAGATGTATGGATTGGCTCTATCCACCGAGACTAATGGTGCAACACTATTAAAACCATTGAGGACTAATTTGCTTTTTTCAAAAGGTTAAGAGACAACTTGCGACTCGGACAATATATGGAGGACTAATGTGGCAACTTTCCTAAATATCCTAAGGAACAACTATTTGTTGGAAGTAAAAACCCCAAAAAAACCCTAGAGCAACCACTTTCAACATAGACTTAGTAATTCTGAAAATTTCTCTTGTTAGGGGCCAAGACCAACCATGGACAAAGAGGATAAAGATCTTATCTGTTGAAGCAAGAAAAAATCCGCAAGAAAGCCCGAAGCCCCACAACTGTCAAAAGAGACTTTTATTCGAGATAGTGTGAAAAGAGAGCTGAATCTATCTATTTTCAAATTCACCTATATCAAGAATAAAAGTCAAATATAACTAGATAATAATAATATCAAGTGTAACTTAAAAACTCTAGAACAAATAAAAATCATAAAATGTGTTATGATTTAAACGAGTATAATAATATGGCAATATGAAATTTAGATCAAACAAGAACACAAGATTTACGTGATGAAAATATACCACGGGTAGAAGGTGAGAATTTTATTAATATCAATAATGGAGGATTATAAATTATTGTGTTGAATGTAACGATAGATTTTTTCTAGAGATTTACTCGTCATATATATAGTGCAAAGAAGAGTCCAAGATACGGTGGATTTTAACTATGACAAGTTTATACAATAATGGGGTATTTAGAATAAGATAAGATTTTAAAAATTGCCAAAATCGCGAACTGATAAAAAATCGGATAAGACTTCCGCTCGAACGGCCTTCTCGTGGCTAGC